TATTTCAAAGATCAAGTAAATAAGCAAAGAAAATATTTTTAAAATAATCAGAAGAAATAAAAAATTAAATAAATTAATAATCAACAAATTAAAATATAATGTTAATTTAAATGTTACGATAGAATGTTAAGAAGAAAGTAAATAAAAATCATATGTAATTATTAACAGCTCTGAATTGCAACAACAATAATAATCAGTATAAATAATATATGCTCGTGTTTGACCTATCCATCTACTGATTAAAAATCACATGATTTTTAATTATTTATTAATTCTAAAAGAGGGTCTCTGTTAATTATGTACAGATTAAAAAATTCGAAAAATTTTGCAAATTTCGTCTTATTAAGGATGTCTTTGAAACGAACCTTGCCCGCTGGCCACCGGAAAGACTGATACCTCTCTCGCCTATGATTGTTTTATCACCATAAGGCAGCAGACTGAAATCTCTCTTTAACTGACACACTTCAATCACATGATTGTATCGAACCTGCTCCATATTTCGTCCAAATAAAATATTCTGTCTCACCGATCCGGCAAACAGCCACGGTTCTTGACTGGCATAGGCAATTTTGCCGTTAATTTGTGAAAAAAAAGTATATAAAATAATCAATTGGGCCTTGGCTTCTGTCGAGGTAAAAAAAATTGCGGAATAATGTAAGTCGGAAAGTTCTCTTAACCACAAGTTAACCAGAAAATGAAAAACTGGGTATAACTGTTAAAGACGAATTATCGACGTACTTGAATAAAACCTTTGTGCAAACGCAGTTCTTTCAAGATGACGTTCATCAGGCTGCTCTTGCCCGCACCGACCTGGCCGACAATAGCAATTAGTTCATTAGGACGCACATTTATGTTTATATTATGCAAGGTGTTTTCCCGTTCATAGCCCTGCCACTTGGCGCTGCCATTCTTGATTGAAATGCTGTACTCGACACACTTCGGCTGGTCTACGATGGTGTAGTCCTTTTTATTTTGTTCAGACATTGTTGTGCAGACAGGAATCTTGTCTGCAAAGATATAATTAAACTTTAATACTTATGTACACACGTGCGATTACATTTAACAATGCATCAACGGAGAAAATCTGTATCTAGATGACAAAAGACAGTTATACATATACTTCTAGGTGTTCTTGGCGGCGTATGAAATTGCGAAGTGTGTAGGTTTCGTGTAATAAGTACAAACACTTGAGTATAATGTATCCATTACATGATTTGTATCAACAACTCTCTCTTTCTGAATTAGTTTTCAAATGATTGACGCATAACTGGCAACAATTTCCTGATAACAATGTAAATAAGGATTTTATTCTTTATTTCAAGTATCAATTTTTTCTTGAGTGTATATCGATATTATTACGTAAACAGTTCTTTTATTTAAACAATTAAATATTCTAGATGTTGAAACCATTTATTTTAGTCTTTATCAGCTGTACGATATCTCGTACACATATAAATTTTTATCGTTTGTTTTTATTTTTGTAAATTATCAATCAAGAATAAATACAATGACTAATAATGATTACAACAAGTGCTTAAAACATTTCATAGTTAATTAGTTTAATAAAAAGTTATTTACATATTAGTTTCTATTTTTGATCGTTTGACTTTGTTTATAATCTCTACTTGTGTCTACAAATAAATATTTTTTTTAAAGAAGTTAAATCATACTCACTCATATAATAAATATACGGATATAAAACTACTCTCACAATATTATAAGTAAGAAGAAAAAAATTTATTGTTATACTTATGTTGATCACAGTAATGGAAAAATTATGTAAATTTTTTTAACACCATTTTAGAATATAGAACAATATCCACTTTAGAATATAGAGCGATATCTGTACTTTTTAAACCTGTCCTATTTCGAAGTCTTTGTATGACTGACGTACTTTATACCACAAGTAGAGCAAACCTTAAGACTCCTGAGTAGCCACTACAGCCATGTTGAATCGTGACGTCAAAGGCGAAAAATGACATGTTAATTTTTGTAACGTGCCACGTGTGTAAACAAAGATAATTTGGATAAAACGAAATGATGAGATCGTTTTAAAATATTTGTAAAAATGGTCGAAGATGATGATTATACTCCCTGACAGTCAGCCTTAATGGTACTTTTTTGTACTTTTTTTTTTACGCCAATAGTAAACTTTTAAAATTATAGATAAAAATAAAATTATAGTTAGTGACATGAACCTTTTCACGGGAAAAGTACCAGATATGTCAATATATGTCATATCTATAGAGACATGGCGAAGGATTAAACTTTTAGTTCATAATTGCGCAAAATTTGTTCAAATTCAAATAATTCTAAAATAAATCAATGTCATTTAATAAATAAAATCATTTAACCTTAAAGTACACATAAATCGGTGTGCATATAAGTGCATTTTACATAGTAAGTAAAAAGTAGTAATATCACATAAATTATATGATTGGTGCATTTGTGAGAAAGTAAAAAAATAAACAATAAAATGCCAAAAATAACAAAAAAATGATTAATAAATTTATTTATTTGATTAAAGTCGAAAGATAATAAAAATATAGATGTATAAAATTTGAAAGACTATAATTATTATTATTATCAAATAATAATTTGTATATCTATCAACGCACGGCGCAGTCTGGATTTTGTTGCGTAGGAGGAGGGAGGAGAGAGCTCCTTTTACCTACAATTGATTGCTTACAGCACCGTTTGCCTACATTTCATTAACTTACCAAATTGATTGCCTACATGTATCCATTATTGCCTACATGTCAATTGCCTACAAGCGCTTTT